CTTTACCTCTTTGAGAAGAAAATTAAAAAGACAAAAGTTAAAGACTTTTCTGGAGCACACTAGCAACATTCAACCTGATTTAGTAAGGGTATTCTATGCTAACCTTACTGTCAGCGGCTCCACTCTAAGGTCTCAAGTCAAAGGTATAAATTTGGTGATCACTCCTGAGGTGTGGGAAGAAGTGGCTGGTCTTCATGATGTTGGTGTAAAGGTATCCAGAGGTAATATTACAGAGTTACCTGATTTTAACAAAATTCAATTTTTTTGCAGTTGTCTAAAAAATCAGAATGATTCTGTAAGAGCTCTTAACGCTGGGAAAATGGAGCTTGAACCAAGGATTCTTGCTTTTATCATTGCGTGGATGCTTACTCCGAGAGGGAGTAATCATGTGTTACTTAATGAGGGAGATTTAGCTCTTATGTATTGCATTGAAAATAATATCCGTGTAAATTGGATTTTTGTTATCAAGGATCACATGATAAAAGCAAAAAGATTGGCTGATTATAAACTGCCATAGGCTATGTTGATTAATCAATTTTTTAGATACTTTGAAGTAGATCTTGCAGGAGAATATGTGGAAACTCCAAAGGCCTCTAATAATATTGATGATTCCACTTTACGAAAGATGGGATTTATCAAAATTGATGGAGAGTGGATCTCTAAGATTGATGCTGGGATGTCTGAAGATGAGGAAGAAGATGAAGAAGAAGCTGATCAAGGTCAAATTCCTTCTTCTCCGGCTGCTGCTGAGGTTCCTAAATCCACTGGTGGTCAAGCTTCCTATGAGAACATGGAGATCATACCATACATGGAGCAACCTGACCGTGGATCTCCTCTCTCCCAGTTTGAAAGAACCATGCTCTCTCAAATGGCCACAATGCAAGAAAATCAAAGGAAACATATGCAAATGACCTATCAGCACTTCCAACAGACCAACACACAATTCTCCAACCTGGGAAATCAAATTGCTGACATTTATACCAAATTGGAGGATATGCAGCTGAACTAGGGAAATTGGGATGATTGAGTATCATCAAGAAGGGTCCTTTCTATCTTTTTAAGTTTTTGTTTCATGCTTTTCTTATTTTTCGTTACTTTTATTCTCTATTATGGTTTGTAATATTGATTGACCTTTGATCAACTATCTTTCATATGATATTAGTCTGTTTAGTTTTGAATTAGAGACCTTAGATTGAAACAAATAACATAAATCTTATAGTTTTAAGCGATACAAAATCAATTTAATCGATTAAATTCAATTAAGGAATAATTTATATAGGAAATTCATATTGTTTTAATCGATTAATTCACAAATTAACCGATTAAAAATCATAAACCATGAATCTGTATCAACTAAAATTGATTTACATGAATTAAAATCACTTTATAAGATGCTTTACTCTGATTTTACTCTATCTTTTGGTTAAAACTTAATCAAATTAGTTGACTTTGTTACTAAACATCTTATAATAACCATTCTTATTAAAATTCAAACTGAATTAGGCATTTTAGATGCATCAAACATCACTTAGTTTCCAAATTTGGTTGTTTTAATTAATATAAACGAGCTTTAATTGATTAAATGAACTAAAGTGTTTAGATTTCAACTTTCATTACTGTTTTAATCGATTAAAAAATTATTCGTATCAATTAAAATTAGTAACAAGAACAATTTAATCGATTATGCCCTATTTTTAATCGATTATTACTCTGGAAAGAAAATTAAAGGCTATAGTTAATGTATGTTCTTGTAACATGCTACTAAAGCATGGTTCCCTTATCTTTACACGTATCTATTGTATTCATTACAAACGTGTTAATGAAGATAAGTTTGAATCAACTTTAATTGGTCTTTAAATGAGTAATACATCTCGATGGTATCTTAATTTTTTTTATATAATACTATTTTCAAAATAAATTTTGTTTAAACCTTACATAACAGGTTCTTAACCGATAGGTTTTCGAAATAATCGATTAAAACCTTTTAAAACATTCACTAGAAGCTGTTTTAATCGATATATCTTCGAATTAATCGATTATTTTCATTAAAGGACTTTTTGAAAACCTTCTGCCAGTATTTTAACTGATGTAGATTCGAAATAATCAATTAAAATGACTTAAAATGTTTTGAAAAGTGTTCTAACAGTATTTTAATCAATACAAACTCGAAATAATCGATTAAAATAACTTGAAGTATTTTGAAATATGTTCTGTCAGTATTTTAATCGATGTAATCTCTGAAGCACTTGGTGGACTTGGTGGATTTGATGAAGACTTAGATATAATTTGATGAAGACATAAATTTAGTTTAGGTTGTGGGTGTGTAGATGATTAGGTTTTTAACTTGAGCACTTAATCCCTTGATAGGCCATTATATGTTGTGATGAAGCGCCTTAATCTTACGCATAGCATTGAAAATCATTTTACGCATTAAAAGAACAAACTAAGTTTTTCAATCTGTTGAAAAAGATTTTCAATCGGTTAAAATCACTTAACAGAATAAGTGGTTCTATATAATCGTATTTTCAATTGATTGATTCGCAGAATCAACAAGTTAAAATAACTTAGTAAATTTCTCAATATAAAGGTTTCGGAAAAACAATCAATTGAAATACTTTTTAATCTGTTGAAAAAGAAAGATATTTTTTCAATCTAAGAGTTTTCGGAAAAACAATCAGTTGAAACGTTTTTCAATCTGTTAAAATAAAGATATTTTTTAAGTCTAAATGTTTTCAGAAAAACAATCTGTTGAAATGATTTTCAATCGATTGAAACAGAGTCTTGTTATTTTTCATTAAGTTGTTTTAATCCATTAAAACTCGAATCAATCGATTAAATGGAACTTTAAATGAAATCAATCGATTGAATCGATGTCTTAATCGATTAAAAGGAACTTTAAATGAAATCAATCGATTGAATCGATCTTTTAATCGATTGAAATAATACTCTAATCGATCATAGTTTTGTTCTAATCGATCATAACTCATTCTGATCGATCATAGTTTTATTCTGATCGATCATAACTCGGTCTAATCGATTATTCTTCTATTCTAATCGGTCAGAATCACTTTTTATCTGATATACTTCAAATTTAATCAATTGTTTTTCTCTCACGTAATGATTTTGATAGAGAACACGTACTTGAAACTTTGTTTTACTCTATATAAACAGTATTGATCTATCTTTCAAAAAATATATACAACACACTACTTGAAAAAACTTGAGAAATCAATCTGTGAATCATTCATCTACGTTTTTCTCTCGCATTCAAGATTTTGTCATATCATAAGGTGCTTTGATCAACATTGTGGTCATTCACAGCGAGAGAGTGCTTTAGAATTGGTCTTGGGCAATTAGAATTCAAAGTCCAGGTTTCTTCTTTCCTTATTCTTTTGTATCGTGTGAATTGTGTAGTTTGGATTGTAAGCTACACTTGGTACGATGCATTGGATTTGGTTACTTGGGTGTTTTTCAAGATTCTATCTTATAGGTTGAAAAGATAGTTCTTGGTGTAGATTGGTGAGGATCTACGGGTTGTAATTGTCACTTGGTATTAGTGGAAACTTGACAGGTTTTGTCAAGAAGCTGGACGTAGCTCTGGATTAGAGTGAACCAGTATAAATTTGTGTGTTGATTTCTTTCTATCATCTCTTTTAAATTCTGAATATAATCTTGCTGTGTTTTAAATCAAATCATCTTTTCAAGAATTGAATAAAGATAACTCATTCTTCCAAAAGAAAGTAAAGTTTTGTGAAAAAGTTTTTAAGTTCAATTCACCCCCCCTCTTGAACTCAACCATTAATTCTTTCAATCTCGAATTAATCGATTAAAACCACTTGAAAGGTTTTGAAAGAAGTTCTATCAGGATTTTAATCGATGTGTTATCAGTTAAAATCACTTAGAGAGATTTATGAAAATATTTGGCAGGATTTTAATCGATTAAAATGTGAATTAATCGATTAAAACAACTAAGAGATTTTTTTTCAAAGTGTTTTAATCGATTAAAACAGACTATTATCAGTTAAAATCACTTAGAAAGTTTTATGAAAACATTTGGGAGTATTTTAATCGATTAAAAGGCGAATTAATCGATTAAAATAACTTAAGGGACTTTTTACAAAGAGTTTTCATCGATTAAAATGATGTCGCATCAGTTAAAACAAATATGAAAAATAATCAAGAACATTTTAACAGATTAAAAGAAGTTTTAACAGATTAATTCAAGACTTTTAACAGATGAAAAGATTATTTTAACAGATTAATTAAACCAGCAATTAGAACAATTCTCTATATAAACAGGATTGGTTGAGTCTTTTAAAATATACCTTTGAACAATCAATCAAGCAACCATAAGAGCTACTTTCAAGAAAGAATCATGCAAGTTTTGTGAAGTTTTTCAAAGTTCTTTCTTGAGGCAATTTTTGTATTTCTTTTGTGAAGAAACTCATTCTACAGAGCTGCATAATCCGGGTTTGAGTGTTCTAGTTTCTTCTCTTTGTTTCTTTACATTTTATTACTGTATTGTGGGTGTCTGGAAGTATGGGCACTGGTTTCTATGGCTGGAATTTGGCTGCAAGGTGGTTCAAGAACTGGAAGTTGGTTCTTGGTGAAGTTTAGGGGCAAGGACTGGAATTTTGGTTCTTGTGGTAGATTGGGTGTGTGATTGGAATCTGTAATCTGTAAAACATTCAATCTAGTGGAACTCAATTGGAATTTGGCTGAGAACTGGACATAGCCCTGGGATTGGGTGAACCAGTATAAATCTTGGTTGTATCTCTCTAAATCTTTCTCTCTATTATTCTGCTGTTGTCTTTATTTTGATTGTTTATATTGCTTGACTCAAGAGTTGGTCAGAACTATTAATCTTTGAAATAGATAATCCAGAAACTTGAGATGTAGAATGAAGTTAAGGAAGCAGAAGAAGTTAAGGAGGAGAAAAAGTTAAGAATGAAGAACAAGTTAGGGAAGGAGAAGAAGCTAAAGATTGAGAAATAATTTAGGATGGGGAAGAAGTGAAGGAAGGAGAAGAAGTTAAGGAAGAAGAAGAAGTTTTAGATGGAGAAGTAGTTAAGGGTAAAGAAGAAAGTATGGATGGGGAAGAAGTTTGGGATGGAGAAGAAGTTAAGGAGGGAGAAATGATTATGGATGGAGAAGAAGTTAAGGAAGGAGAAGAAATTAGGGATGACGAAGAAAGTAAGAATGGAAAAGATGTTAAGGAAGAAGGAGAAGAAATTAAGGAAGGAGAAGAAGTTAGGGAAAGAGAAGAGGTTTGGGATGGAGAAGAAGTTAAGGATGGAGAAGAAGTTTGGGATGAAGGAGAAGTTTGGAATGGAGGAGAAGAATCGAAGTATGGAGAAGAAATTAAGGAAGAAGAAGTTTAGGAAGGAGAAGAAGTTTTGGATGGAAAAGAAGTTAAGGATAAAGAAGAAAGTATGGATGGGGAAGAAGTTTGGGATGGAGAAGAAGTTTGGAATGGAGAAGAATCTACTAAGTATGGAGAAGAAATTAAGGAAGAAAAAGTTAAGGAAGGAGAAGAACCTTTGGATGGATAGGATAGGAGATTATAGTTAATGATGGCGAAGAAACTTGGGATGTAGAATGAAGTTAAGGAAGCAGAAGAAGTTAAGGAGGATGGAGAAGAAGTTAAGGAAGGAGAAAAAGTTAAGAATGAAGAACAAGTTAGGGAAGGAGAAGAAGTTAAGGATTGAGAAATAGTTTGGGATGGGGAAAAGTAAAGGAAGGAGAAGAAGTTAAGGAAGAAGAAGAAGTTTTGGATGGAGAAGAAGTTAAGGGTAAAGAAGAAAGTATGGATGGGGAAGAAGTTTGGGATGGAGAAGAAGCTAAGGAGGGAGAAATGATTATGGATGGAGAAGAAGATAAGGAAGGAGAAGAAATTAGCGATGACAAAGAAAGTAAGGATGGAGAAGAAGTTATGGACGGAGAAGATATTAAGGAAGAAGGAGAAGAAATTAAGGAAGGAGAAGAAGTTAGGGTAGGAGAAGAAGTTTGGGATGGAGAAGAAGTTAAGAATGGAGAAGAAGTTTGGGATGGAGGAGAAGTTTGGAATGGAGGAGAAGAATCGAAGTATGGAGAAGAAGAAGTTTAGGAAGGAGAAGAAGGTAAGGAAGAAGAAGTTTTGGATGGAAAAGAAGTTAAGGATAAAGAAGAAAGTATGGATGAGGAAGAAGTTTGGGATGGAGAAGAAGTTTGGAATGGAGAAGAATCTACTAAGTATGGAGAAGAAATTAAGGAAGAAGAAGTTAAGGAAGGAGAAGAACCTTTGGATGGATAGGATAGGAGATTATAGTTAATGATGGCGAAGAAACTTGGGATGTAGAATGAAGTTAAGGAAGCAAAAAAAGTTAAGGAGGATGGAGAAGAAGTTAAGGAAGGAGAAAAATTTAAGAATGAAGAACAAGTTAGGGAAGGAGAAGAAGTTAAGGATTGAGAAATAGTTTTGGATGGGGAAGAAGTGAAGGAAGGAGAAGAAGTTAAGGAAGAAGAAGAAGTTTTGGATGGAGAAGAAGTTAAGGGTAAAGAAGAAAGTATGGATGGGGAAGAAGTTTGGGATGGAGAAGAAGTTAAGGAGGGAGAAATGATTATGGATGGAGAAGAAGATAAGGAAGGAGAAGAAATTAGCGATGACGAAGAAAGTAAGGATGGAGAAGAAGTTATGGACGGAGAAGATATTAAGGAAGAAGTGAAGCACTTGGTGGATTTGATGAAGACATAATACTGAGTGGATATAGATTAGTTAGTGGGTGTGTAGATAAATAAGTTAGAAGTTTAGAACTTAATCTCTTGATAGGCCAATATTTTTTGTGATAAGCGCCTTAAAATGATGCATCTCATTGAAATCATTTTTTCTGCATGAAAAACTTACATTTAAGTATTAAAAGAACAAACTAAGTTTTTCAATCTGTTGAAAAGGATTTTCAATCTGTTAAAATCACTTAACATAAAAAGTGGTCATATATAGTCGGAATTTCAATTGGTTGAATCACAGAATCAACAGGTTAAAATGTCTTAATGAATTTTTCAACTATCAAAGGTTTCGCATTTTCAATCTGTTGAAATGTTTTTTAATCTGTTGAAACAGAAAGACTATTTTTTCAGTCTAAGAGTTTTTCAGAAAATCAATCTGTTGAAATACTTTTCAATCTGTGGAAACAGAGAGACTATTTTTCTATCTAAGAGTCTACAGAATTTCAATCTGTTGAAATGATTTTCAATCGATCGAAATAGAGAGCTATCATTTTTCATAAATCTGTTTCAATCCATTGAAAACTCGAATCAATCGATTGAATGAAGTTTTAAATGAAATCAATCGATTGAATCGTCGTTTTAATCGATTGAAATGCATTCTGATCGATCATAATTTCATTCTGATCGATCATAACTTGTTATAATCGATCATATTGCTGTTCTAATCGATCATAATCGATTCTAACCTGCTATATGTTCATTCTGATCGATTACTTTCTACACTAAACCAGTTTTTATCAGATTAAACTCTCTGGTTCTGTCTTTTACTCTATAAATACAGATTTAATCTATCTTTTGATATATACAATTTGAGAAAACATTTGAAAGCAATCTTTGAGCTATCATATCCGTGACTTTCTCTGTGCATTCAAGAACTTTTCATATCATAAGGTGCTTTGATAAAAATTGTGGTCAATCAAAGAGAGAAAGTGCTGAGTTAGAACTGGTTCTGGACAATTGTACTGATAAAGCTGCAGTCCAGGTTTTTTCTTTTCATACTCTTGTGTAAAGTGTGGTTGTGTAGGTTGGATTTTGGATCTGCACTTGTTACAGTAACTGGATTTGGTTACTGGGAGGTTTTCAAGATTCTATCTTGTGGGTTTGTAAGATAGTTCTTGGAGTAGATTGGTGAATATCTACTGGTTGTATTTTTCACTTGGTATTAGTGGAACTTGACAGATTTGTCAAGAACTGGATGTAGCTCTGGTATAGAGTGAACCAGTATAAACTTTTGTGTTGAATTTCTTCTTTCATCTCTCTTATTTCCTGCCTATATACTTGCTGTGATTAAAATCAACCTACCTATACAAGAATTGAATAAAGATAAATCATTCTTCCAAAAGAAAGTAAGTTTTGCGAAAAAGTTTTATAAAGTTCAATTCACCCCCCCTCTTGAACTCAACCATTAATTCTTTCAAGAAGGAGAAGAAATTAAGGAAGGAGAAGAAGTTAGGGAAGGAGAAGAAGTTTGGGATGGAGAAGAAGTTAAGGATGGAGAAGAAGTTTGGGATGGAGGAGAAGTTTGGAATGGAGGAGAAGAATCGAAGTATGGAGAAGAAGAAGTTTAGGAAGGAGAAGAAGTTAAGGAAGAAGAAGTTTTGGATGGAAAAGAAGTTAAGGATAAAGAAGAAAGTATGGATGGGGAAGAAGTTTTGGAAGGAGAAGAAGTTTGTAATGGAGAAGAATCTACTAAGTATGGAGAAGAAATTAAGGAAGAAGAAGTTAAGGAAGGAGAAGAAATTAGGGATGACGAAGAAAGTAAGGATGGAGAAGAAGTTATGGATGGAGAAGATGTTAAGGAAGAAGGAGAAGAAATTAAGGAAGGAGAAGAAGTTACGGAAAGAGAAAAAGTTTGGGATGGAGAAGAAGTTAAGGATGGAGAAGAAGTTTGGGGTGGAGGAGAAGAATCGAAGTATGGAGAAGAAATTAAGGAAGAAGTTTAGGAAGTAGAAGAAGTTAAGGAAGAAGAAGTTTTGGATGGAGAAGAAGTTAAGGATAAAGAAGAAAGTATGGATGGGGAAGAATTTTGGGATGGAGAAGAAGTTTAGAATGGAGAAGAATATACTAAGTGTGGAGAAGAAATTAAGGAAGAAGAAGTTAAGGAAGGAGAAGAAATTTTGGATGGATAGGATAGGAGATTATAGTTAAGGATGAAGAAGAAACCTGGATGTAGAATGAAGCTAAGGAAGCAAAAGAAGTTAAGGAGGATGGAGAAGAAGTTAGGGAAGGAGAAAAAGTTAAGAATGAAGAACAAGTTAGGGAAGGACAAGAAGTTAAGATTGGAGAAATAGTTTGGGATGGGGAAGAAGTGAAGGAAGGAGAAGAAGTTAAGGAAGAAGAAGAAGTTTTGGATGGAGAAGAGGTTAAGGGTAAAGAAGAAAATATAGATGGGGAAGAAGTTTGGGATGAAGAAGAAGTTAAGGAGGGAGAAATGATTATGGATGGAGAAGAAGTTAAGGAAGGATAAGAAATTAGGGATGACAAAGAAATTAAGGATGGAGAAGAAGTTATGGACGTAGAAGATGTTAAGGAAGAAGGAGAAGAAATTAAGGAAGGAGAAGAAGTTAGGGAAAGAGAAGAAGTTTGGGATGGAGAAGAAGTTAAGGATGGAGAAGAAGTTTGGAATGGAGGAGAAAAATCGAAGTATGGAGAAGAAATTAAGGAAGAAGAAATTAAGGAAGAAGAAGTTTAGGAAGGAGCAGAAGTTAAGGATGAAGAGGTTTTGGATGGAGAAGAAGTTAAGGATAAAGAAGAAAGTATGGATGGGGAAGAAGTTTGGGATGGAGAAGAAGTTTGGAATGGAGAAGAATTTACTAAGTATGGAGAAGAAATTAAGGAAGAATAAGTTAAGGAAGGAGAAGAACTTTTGGATGGATAGGATAGGAGATTATAGTTAAGGATGGAGAAGAAACTTGGGATGTAGAATGAAGTTAAGGAAGCAAAAGAAGTTAAGGAGGATGGAGAAGAAGTTAGGGAAGGAGAAAAAGTTAAGAATGAAGAACAAGTTAGGGAAGCATAAGAAGTTAAGGATGGAGAAATAGTTTGGGATGGGGAAGAAGTGAAGGAAGGAGAAGAAGTTAAGGAATAAGAAGAAGTTTTGGATGGAGAAGAAGTTAAGGGTAAAAAAGAAAGTATGGATGGGGAAGAAGTTTGGCATGGAGAAGAAGTTAAGGAGGGAGAAATGATTACGGATGGAGAAGAAGTTAAGGAAGCAGAAGAAATTAGGGATAACGAAGAAAGTAAGGATGGAGAAAAAGTTATGGATAGAGAACATGTTAAGGAAGAAGGAGAAGAAATTAAGGAAGGAGTGAAAGAATTAATGGTTGAGTTCAAGAGGGGGGGTGAATTGAACTTTAAAACTTTTTCGCAAAACTACTTTCTTTTAGAAGAATGAGTTATCTTTATTTAATCTTTGTAAAGGGTAATTCGGTTTAAACACAGCACAATTAAAGACAGAAAATAAAAGAGATGAAAGAAGAATATTAACACACAAAATTATACTGGTTCACTCTAATCCAGAGCTACATCCAGTTCTTGACAAACCAGTCAAGTTCCACTAATACCAAGTGAAAAATACAACCAGTAGATACTCACCAATCTATCTCAAGAACTATCTTGCAAAACCCACAAGACAGAATCTTGAAAACCACCCAGTAACCAAATCCAGTTACTGTACCAAGTGCATATTACAATCCAACCTGCACAATCAAACTTTTACAAAAGAATATGGAAAGAAAAACCTGGAGTTGAAGTTTCTAATTGTCCAGAACCAATTCTAACAGCACTTTCTCTTTTGAATGACCACAAATCTGATCACAGCACCTTATGATATGAAAAAGATTCTTGAATGCAGAGAAAGTCACGTATGAAAGTTTCACAGATTGATTTCACAAGTTTTCTCAAGTAGTGTGTTGTATTGTATTTACAAAAGATAGATCAAATCTGTATATATAGAGTAAATCAAAAGAGTCAGAACGTTTCATCTTTAAAAATCTGTTTTAGAGAGGCAAAGATAAGTTGGTTAGCAGTAAAACAGGTTTAGAAGAGACTCTGATCGATTAGAATAGAAGTATGATCGATCAGACCGAGTTATGATCGATCAGAATAAAACTATGATCGATCAGAATACATTTTAATCGATTAAAACGTCGATTCAACCGATTGATTTCATTTAAAGCTCAATTTCAATCGATTGATTCGAGTTTTTAATCGATTGAAACAACTTAATGAAAAATGATAGCTCTCTGTTTCAATCGATTGAAAATCATTTCAACAGATTAAATTCCTGCAAACACTTAGTTAGAAAAATAGTCTCTCTGTTTCAACAGATTGAAAAATATTTCAACAGATTGATTTTCTAAAACCTCTTAGACTGAAAAAGATCTTTCTGTTTCAACAGATTTAAAAACATTTCAACAGATTGAAAATGCGAAACTTGATATTTGAAAAATTCATTGAGTTATTTTAACTTGTTGATTCCGCGAATCAATCAATTGAATTTTCGATTATGTATGACCATTTTTATGTTAAGTGATTTTAACAGATTGAAAATCCTTTTCAAGAGATTAAAAAAAAACTTAGTTTATTCTTTGAATACTTAAACGTAAGTTTTTCATGCAGAAAAATGATTTTCAATGAGATGCAACATCTTAAGGTGCTTATCACAAAATATAATGGCCTATCAAGAGATTAAGTGCTTAAACTTAAAAAACCTAATCATCTACACACCCACAACCTAAGTTATATCTATGTCTTCATCAAATCCACCAAGTGCTTCAATCTCCCCCTATTTGATGGAGACAAATAACCACTGCACCTGCAAACAAAAGTAACAGACCAGAGACATATATTTTGTGGTGTGTGTGTAGTGACAGTTTTAAGCAAAATACTTCTCTCCCTATTTGACTACATCAAATAGCTTGTTTTAGTTACAGTCCAATGGGACCACGTGGGTACCCCAAATATAAACCAGAACATTAAAAAGAAAGAAACTATGAGAAGAAAGCAGAATAACAGAAATATAGAAATTCTTCATTCGTCCCCGGGGCCTTGATTGAATTGCAGTTCCACAATCCTGTTGTAAATATCTTCTAGTTGATTATCAATATGCTGGAACCTTGCAATGAAATTTTCATCCAAATAATGCTGCCAAGCCCTCAGAGCAGTAGTCATCTCCATATGCCTCCTTTGTTCAGTTTGCAGTTCGCTCATTTGATGCAACATCGTTCTTTCGAACTGAGACAGAGGCGTGCCACGGTCAGGCGGTGGATTGTATGGAATCATCTCCATTGGAGTCACTTCTTCCATTGGATCAGACGGACGTGCTGCAGAAGTTCCAGGAATATCAGTGTTGATTTCTTCCTCTTGTTCTTCTTCTTCACTTTCTTCACTTCTCCCAGCATCTTCTTTTGAGATCCATTCACCATCAATTTTAATGAATCCCATTTTGTGAAGCACAGAATTATTTATTTCATTTGTTGGTCGGACAGTTTCAACAAGTTCTCCTTCAACATCGACACCAAAATGTGTTAAAAATTTAGAAATCAGAATAGCATAGGGATACCTGAAATCACTAAGTCTCTTGGCTTTGATCATGTGATCCTTGACGACGAAGACCCAGTTCACTCGTATTCTGTGATGAATGCAGTACATCAGTACTAAATCTCCTTCATTTAGCACTGCATGATTGCTCCCCCTGGGTGTGAGCTGCCATGAAACGATGAAAGCAAGAATCCTTTCTTCCAGTTTCAACTTCCCAGTGTTGAATGAACTTACAGAATCATGCCTATTCTTCAGGCAAGAGCGGAAATACTGAACTTTATTAAATTCTTCAACATCCGAAGTACACCCTTTGGTGACTTTCACGCCTTCATCCTTTATTCCAGCAACCTCCTTCCAGACATTAGGTGTTATCTCAATGTCTACTCCTTTGACTTGAGTTATTAGAGTGGAACCTTCAAAGGACAAGTTAGTGAAAAAGACTTTGATTAAGTCAGGGTAAATCCTACCATTCAACTCCAGAAACTTCTGAAGTTTTTGATGTTGCAGTAATTTCCGAATGCCTCTGAATCCTTCGGCATCAAACCAGGAGAACTTTAACATCTTTGGAATGTTGACTTGCTTCCTGCTCAACTCATGGATAAACAAATCCATTTTCTCTTGATCCCCATTGAACCAAGTTTCAATCCTTCCTACAATATTTTGTTCTTGCCTTGCAGTAGAGGACTCGCCTCTGCTGGACTTTTTCCTACCAGACTTTGTGCGCTTGAACATGCTTGATCTTTGGGATGAGCAGAACAGAGAAGAACCGAGAAAAGAGAAAGTTCAAAGAAAATAATACTAAAGGAATGATAATACACAATCTTTTCAGTTTCAAGGTTTTCGTCTTTACTATATTACTGCTACTGCACAGTGATGATAAAGGTGGAGAGAGAAGAAATTGCTACTGTACAACTTAATTACCTTCACAGTAGATATCCAATCAGTATCCATCAGCTTTTATTGGATATCTTGGATATTGAAGAGAGTAGTTGAAGTTTATCTTGTTGTAAATGCTTTCTGCAGAAATTGTTTAGAGACATAGTACATACAACTAGCCCTAGAAGAAAAATAATCAATTGATATTTCGTGAAACCAATTGATTTTTGTAAATGCAGATACTTAAGTGAAATAAACCGATTGAATTGAAAGTTAAATCGATTGTTTTTGTAAAAGAAAATTATTCAGAGTACCATTAGTGAATTCAATCGATTGAATCGAAGATTTAATCGATTGATTTATAGAAGAAGGTGTGCAGAGCTACAAGATTAATGAAATAAATCGATTAAAAGTTTATCTAATCGATTGAACTAATAACATATCAATACCAGACAGTAAGAATCAGGAAATCAACAGATTATTTAGCAATTTCAATCGATTGAAACAAATAATATCCAGTTATTCATGCAATTATTAATCGATTGAACTTGTTATCAACCTGTTAAAAAAAACATACAATCATTGTAGAGAATCAGTTATGCAATACTAGATATATCTAGAATTCCTAATTCAGTCCTAAGCATATTAAGTCTGTCTCTAGGAAGTGGTTTAGTGAATAAATCAGCTAATTGTTTTTCAGATTCAACGAATAATATCTCACAGTCACCCCTAGATACGTGTTCTCTAATAAAGTGATGTCTAATTTCAATATGCTTAGTTCTAGAGTGTTGAATAGGATTCTTAGTTAAGTTTATTGCACTAGTATTGTCACAAACCAGAGGTACCTTGTTTAGAGTCACTCCATAATCTGTCAGCTGTTGCTTGAGGTAAACGCTTTGGGCACAACAGCTCCCAGCTGCAATGTATTCAGCTTCTGCAGTTGACAGAGCAACACACGCTTGCTTTTTGCTATGCCATGATATAAGACTGCTCCCCAGTAAATGACAAGTACCAGAGGTACTCTTTCTGTCCAATCTACATCCTGCAAAGTCAGAATCAGAAAATCCAACAAGTTTAAGGGATGCACCTTCAGGATACCATAGACCAACATTAACTGTTCCCTTAAGATACTTCAGAATCCTTTTGGCAGCGGTAAGATGTGATTCCTTTGGATTTGCCTGAAATCTTGCACAAAGGCACACACTAAACATAATGTCAGGTCTACTAGCAGTTAGATATAGTAGTGAACCAATCAAACCTCTGTATTTAGTTTGATCAACAGGTTTTCCTTTTTCATCTAAGTCTAGACAACAGTTAGTAGACATGGGTGTAGAGGATTCTTTGCAATTTTGCATATCAAATTTCTTTAACAATTCATTGTAGTATTTAGATTGGCTAAGAAAAATGCCATTTCTTAACTGTTTAACCTGGAGACCAAGAAAGAAATTCAATTCTCCCATCATAGACATTTCAAATTCACTTTGCATTTCTTTTACAAAATTTTTACACATGGCATTATTAGTGGAACCAAAAATGATATCATCCACATACACTTGCACCAGAATAATGTCAGTTCCAGATTTCTTAATGAATAGAGTTTTA